CATTCCTGCCAAGATGTTATACTTTTCAATAACTGCTGTTCTTTCTCCTTAGCTCTGACACAACTCCTCTCCTAAATGGATCAGGCCAGGACAGAATGTTTGAGACCATGGCTGTGGAGATTGAACAACTTCTGGGAAAGGTAACTCAGGTTACTGGGGTTTTACTTCAGCATCTAGGAAATACTGCAGCACAGGTTTCTGGGGTGAGTGTTAGGAAACACTGGTGCGAGTGATAGACAAGTGCTTCTGGAGGTGTGTGTCTGCCGTTAGTGCTGGCTCCTTCAACTCATGCATTGTAACTTTCTTACAAGAATAAGCCATTTTGTTTTTTTTTCCTTCCTCTAGCTTACTGGGATAAATGACAAAATGGCAGAGTACACAAATAGCGCAGGAGTCCCGTCCCTGAATGCTGCCCTGATGCATACGTTGCAGCGTCATCGAGACATCCTGCAGGTAACAACCGCACATCCTCCTTGCTTTTATTTTGTCTGGAATGATTATTAGCAGTGCTGATATCGCAGCGTGCTGAAATGTCTTACCAGGAGGTTTAAATGCCGCTGATCCCATCTCACTGTTCCTCTCTCCAGGCACCCCAGTCAGTGAGTTGGAAAAATGGCATTTTGTGTGTCATACCGGTGCCTAGCACCTGGCTGAGAAAGAACAGTGACGCATGGGATCTTATATAGGTGTCTCTCATATAGCAAAGGGGAAGGGTACTGTAATGAATTATTTGGTCTGGGGGATCTGTCACATAGCAATATGAGAGGGAACATTGCATTTAAGTTAAGAAAATATGATTGTAAAACCATCTAAACTGCTACAGGGAGTTGGAGGGAATGTATTATAAATCAACCATGTTTCAAACTGGTGATGTTTTCCTGGCAGAGTAGTGTTAAATTTTTTTTTTTGTTTGGCTGGTCCTATACGGTTTGCTGTTTCTTATCTATGCAGTACGCAATGCGAAAACTGTGGTGTTTTGTAAAAGCCACAGCGTTTATATAGAAAAGAGTTCTGAATGTTTACAGTGATTTTTGGTGGATGCCAGTTGCAAGTTAAATTGGTTTTCAAGCAGTATTAGCTGTCTGAAATTTTTCAAAATTGTAACTTGAAGATCTAAAAAAAGAAAAATAAAAAAAAAGTAGTCTTTGTCATTTAGAAAAGACTTCTTTTTCATCTGGTGTAACTTAGCAAATTGAACGTCTTCACCACACCAAATCAGTAGGTTTTACTGGCGCTTCAGATTCAACCAGTAATGGGAAATTCCAGCACAAAATGGGAATTCATCAGGAAGGTTGAGATCTATGAAATCGGGACAAGAAATTACTGTGGATTTCCCTCTGTGACCTTAGCTGTAGCTGTCCAAAATTAGCAACTACTGTAAGAGCGGTGAGTTTAAAGATATTTTGCATTAACTTGAAAGCATTTTTAATGTTAATTTCCGAAGTTGGTCTTGCAATTTGTGTTAGAGAACAGCTAACATTTTAAAAGATGGTTGGATCTTACTGGAGTATATCGTGTTGCTAAATTGGTCTTGGGATCCTAATTTTGGAATACCTGTTTTATTACAGGATTATACGCATGAATTCCACAAAACCAAAGCGAACTTTCTGGCAATACGAGAAAGGGAGAATCTGTTGGGATCAGTACGAAAAGATATTGAGTAAGTTGTGTTGTGTGTTACAGCAACGGTGTGGGACTGTCCTCAGGGGGAGAAGGTGGAAACCTTCCTGTAGGAGAACTCTTGGCATAGCTTGGCCATCTGTGCTTTGAATAAAGCAAAAAAAGTTACTTGAATTCACAACTCTTACTAAGATTGTGATAAGATTCTGGGTTTTTTGTTGTTTGTTTTTTTTAGCTATGAAAAGGAACTCATGTTTTTCAAGTAAAACTATTAAGCTATGCCAAGTCACTTTAAAACTGTCTTAACGTGACTGGAACTTTTCTAGTTGGTCACTTCAGAGTAACAAAGCTTGATATGTGTGTAAATCAGCTAGTTTTCAAGTTCTTTTTTTACATACATTTTAGATCATATAAAAGTGGGTCTGGCGTGAATAACAGAAGAACAGAACTATTCCTGAAGGAACATGAACACCTTCGAAAGTAGGTGTTATTTGTTATTTACTTACGTAAATAAGTAGGTGCCTAACTTTTCAGGGGGATGAAACATTCGTAATTTCAAGTCTGTGTGAAAGCTTTGTCCATTTGTAGGTGTGTATGTCCACGGTGAATGCCTTGCACTGTGTGTTCTGTGTCAGCGCTGCTACTTACACAGCTAGATAAACATCTATTGCTTGTGCTGACTGTGAAATGGCAGGTGGTAGTCACGGTAGTTTTCTGTGCTTTTGACTTTAGGATCTTGTCAACGTTAAGTGACATCTATGTGTTGTCTTCAGTGGGCTTTCCCCGAGTCAGCTGTGACTCAGACTTCGCGCTTGGCCTGCTCTCTTACGGAAGCAGGTGCCTCTGTAGCGTACTGACTGGATAAGGGTTCAAATACAAAACACAAACTCCCAGTGATTGAGCTGTTCTTCCTTTGCTTCTCCTTTATTTCTCAGCGGTAGGCAGAGAAGAACCTTCTTTTCCTTCTGTCTCCCCTGAATGTGTACAAAAGGTGAGGGAAGAGCCTAATTCCAGAATTACCTGTGCGCTTAAATATTTGCAAATTGACTCTAGTTTATTGGCCAAGATAACAAGCAAAGTAGAAAGCGCTTCCTTTTTATCCCTGCTGCAGAGTGGGTGTTGGGTGATGAGTAAAGTTTGGCAAAAGCAGCACACCCCCATAGCCGAGCGCTGGAAGGTTCATGTTTTCTAGATATCCGGGAAGTAGCACTGATCTTCAGGGCTCTGTGTTCTTGGCTGTAGTCATGCTGAACTTCAGGCTTACACGAGAGGGCAGGCTTTCATTTTAAAAAAATAATTAAATAAAAAATTACCTGTGGCTTTCTCAAACGTGCTTTCTTAAAGAGAACTTAAAGCTTCCAGCCAGAATGGCACAAAAAGGCTTTCCGGGAGATTAAAATGAAATTCTTCGGTTGTGGATTACCACCACTTTATCCTCAATTTTCTTTAAATCGAACTTGGAAATGAATTTATTTAAAGCTTGAATTGTGACTTTTATTAGGTTTAATTTCTTATTAGAAATTCATGATCAGGTTTCCAGTAAAAAAACCCCCAGTCTTAACGTTTTGGAGGTGAATGTTATCTGAAATGTTGTACTTTGGAGATTCAGTCAGTGTCCCTTAATCTGAGTAAATTTCTAGATATTGTATTTGGGATTTTTTGTTTTGCTTTGGGTTTTTTTATTGGAATGTTAGTAAATACTTTTAAACATTTGGCATTTTGTTAAAGAAAGATACAAACAAAATATTTCTGGAGTTGTAGAGTGTACTTCCAAGAAACTGACGTTCTTCTGAGTGCACTATTTGAAAAGTTTGAAACAATGAAGAGAGGAACACTTAAAACATTTTGAATGTTATCTGGCAGGTGTCTTCAGAATTGGAGCCTAGCATTTGTTGAGACATTGATTGCTTTGATCTCTTTAAACGTATTAAACTTCCCAGTATGTTCTTAGGATAAAAATGCGTAAAAAAATAGAACTAAATAAGGTAGCTTCAGAAGCAGTTAAACCATCTTGTAGATGATTATTTAAAAATGTCAAGACTTAAAAAAAACCTGCACAACATTGAGAAAAAGAAAACAAGAAATAAGTGTGAGTTGGGGATCTTTCGGAAACAGGGCCAAAATTAATCATGGAATGCTACTGCAAGGTGGAGATAACTGTAAGGTGTATGAAGAAATCTGGTCCAGAAGCAGAAGGCAACCTTGGCGAGAAATGAAAGCTTGCAAGATGTTCAAAACTTCTGAACTGAGAATCAGTAAGCTCAGAAATAGATACTGGCAGAGGAAATAATTAGAGTTTCAACATATTTGTCTTCAGAGAAAGCAGTTAATGTGCTGTTAATGCCAAAAAGCTGTAAAAGGGAGCAAAAGGTCCCAAGAAATCCCCCGGAGCTGGCAGATTTCACCAAACATACTCCCAGGATAAGCAGACAAGATTTGTGTGGGTCGTGATGCTGAATATTTGCAGCGCAGTAAATCCCATTGCTAGACTAATTGATAGAGCTGTATAGTGAATATACATACACTGACACAAAGACACAACAGTAAAAATTGAATTGTATTTTTAGTGAAGTTGTGAAACTATGAAAAGAGGTTGAAAAATGGAGATGGGAACTTAAACTTTGCAAGTGTGTTGTCGTGCTGCAGAGTAATGAAATAATGCCCAGAAGAGACGTATTCCTATCGAATATTGGAGCATTCACTTGGTGTTGACCCTGCTTAATTTATGATTTTAAGTACTTTAACCTATTACATATTTATTCCATGATCTGATAATGGAGAATGTCTGAGCCATTACCCCGCTGCAGAGTACCAGACCCGTCTGTCAGCCTGTTTCTTTATGCGCTACCATGTGAGGTGGCGTAAGCGGAAACTTGAATTTACTCTTGGCGCCGTTTTCCGTGAATGCTCTTTAAAAAGCATGCTGGCAGCCCGAGGCGGTATTGTTTGTGGTGGTATCTCACTCGGGAGTAAGAGGAGGAGAGCCGGAAAGCTCTTCTCTGGGAGAGACATTGGAGAGACCTCTGCTTTTTGCCTAAATCTGCCTTTTTATTTTTCTGTCACATTTTGAACATCATCTTTTCTACAAGGACAAAGAATAGAGGAGAATCTGTCCATGTTAATTTTACATACGTAGGTAATCGTAAAAAAAAAGACGAAAATAAAAAAAAAAATCAGTGAGTACAAAGTTTTGATGAATAAAAGGATCCCACGTGTATTAAGCACCAAGGGTTTGCATTGGGATTGGGTGCTGCCGGGCAGCGCTGGGGCTGGGGGCATGCGGGGCTCTGTGCTGCTGCACCCCAGTGCTGGGAGGGTTAGTGAAAGCTTCTCTTCAACAGAAAGCTTTCCTCTTGGTTCACTTCATTTTATAAATCAGCTGCTTCTGAGTTTTGTTGGGTGATTGTCTAGAAATTTTACTGACTGTGGATAGGAGATATAAAGTTTCTGAGTCACTCAGTTTCCTACTTGATTTCTGTACAGATAATGCAAGGATAGTTTTACCTACCTCTGGAGAGAAAAACAAGAATGCCTACATTTTTAAATAAAAATGTTAACACCTTAATTAAAATGAGGCTGGAAGACAGGTCTTGTCAAATATTGATGCCCTGTTAATATTTTTGCCTAATACCTCAGATCTTTTGGCATGTCAGATGCTTAAATAAATATGAAATCTAATGCCTGTAGTCGATTTTTGAATGCTTGTTTTCTTGGGTCTGTAGCATCCAGTAAAGGTGTTTGTCTCATCTTTTCTGTTTGTATGCTTTTGGCCAGGGAAGTAAACAAGTCATCCTTTTTCTTGTAATACTGTTCTTCATCTGAAGAAAACAATTTTGATGAATAGATCTAGCTTAGCATTTTAAAAACTGTTCCGAAAAGTGCTGCTTCAGAGGAGAGAGTCCTGTCAACTTAGTGTTTGCCCTGAGAAGTTCTGCAGTTCCTGATGAGCGATAGTCCAAGCCAGCAGAGAAGGGACTAATGTGTTTGGTTAAAATTGCAAAGTTGCACGTGTTTGGGAGTGAAAATTTCCCCCGTGTCAGTACTTGCATTGTATGTGACTCGTATCAGGTGATACTGATGAATTTGTGTAAAAATTAATGAAGACTTCCAAGATTTAGATGGAAATTACAGATGTGGTCACCTGTGATGAATTCCTTGTAAAACCAGATGAAAACTAGACCCTTAGTGGTCGTCAGCATTTGCTGAAGTACATTTGTTCTGTCGTCGTGGAGCCACTGTGTGACTGTCCGTTATTACTCAGCTCCAGGGCTCGCAATTCAGACATTTTTCCTTTTCCAAAAGAAGTGGCTGGTGGAGAAGCAGGTGCTTACGCTGGTGCAGATATCATGAGCTGGTTTTTTAATTGTTGTCAGATGACTGCGTGTCTCTGGTGGGTGTTCTAGGCAAGCTATCAGTCTATCCAGCAAAAAAATTTTCAGCTTAGATAGAGTATCACATGTAGGTGATGCAGGTAGAGGAGGTGAACCTGCTCAAATTGTTCAGGCTGGCTAAGGACAAAACACCCCTCGTGTCTTAAAGTGTTTGGTACTGGGAACAGAGAGGGTAGGGGTGCTGGAGCAGGTGGGTGAGAAACTCTGAAGGAGAAAAGGAGGAGAGTAAACAAATCCGAGAGGGATGTGTTCTGCATGTGAAAGAGAAAAGAGGGGTAGGAGAAGTGAACAAAAGAAATAACGGGAATTGGTCGCAGTTGTGTAATGGTGCTATTAATAATACATATCTGATTCGTGGGGGTGATTAGGATAAATTAATGTTCATGCAGTGCTTCATATATGCGAAGTACTCTGGAATACTAAATATTTTTATGACTATTATTGTTGCATTTCATCTTTGAGGAGAGCTATTTCAGATTTCCTGTTGTTGTTTGGGCAGAAATGGCCGCATTCAGGAGAGAATAATCGCCGGGAAGCTGCTTTCAAACTTTGTTCATAATACAGTCCAGATCTTAATAGAGGGAGTGACTTGTTGACCCTTTTCCCTCTAAATACTGATGTTGATTGTGAATTTTCACTTCAGTAGTGATTGGCACGGAGAAGTCAGTTTAATGAGATGCTGAGACACCTCAGAGGGTTTTTGATTATCGTTGTGTTGATCTTCTGGGGAAAAAGCTACTGATTTTCTACCTTAATTTGATTTCCTTTGCTTTGTTATCCCTCTTCTCTGCTCCGCACGCCCTGATTTCTGTTCACTGTGCTGTTGCTGCTCAGGTTCCTGTGGATTTCAGTGGACCTTCAATATTGGATTAAAACCTGTGAGCTGCTGTCGTCTCCCCTTCCATCCCCTCCCTCCCCTCCAGCTGCAGGGGAGGACACCCAGAGGCAGTAGCTGCTCCGGCTGACACATGGGTCACCACTGCATCTCCTTCCTCTCCTCTTGGAAGGAAAGAGCCTGTAGGAAAACCAGCTCGTTCACCAGTTCCTCTTTCCTTCCCGAGGTGGTTGGGGAAGCAGCAGGGAGCTGCT